CTTCTTGATATGTATGTGGTTCATCTTTCGTTAATGATGAACATGAGTACCATGTTTTCAATATATCGCTATAGAAATCAGAGACACAAGTAAAAGAGTTGGGTGGAGTAATGACAAATAGTTGTTTGTCGTAGTTTAAGCCGTTCATCTGCCTTAAAAAATAGTCTGTGAATATAAAACTGGGATGCTTTAAACAAGAGTAAAAGTAACGCTGTACATATTGTAGACGGAAGGCGGCTAATCGTGAAGAGAGGTGAATTATGCCCTGTTCACCCGCATGGTTTGACATGCAAAGTAATTCCGCTGGGATCCAGTGTCGTCCCTGCCAAAATAACTCAAGAAAAAGAGTCTGCAAGCAGTCGACCTTATGTTACGGTGTACACAGACACATAAACCGGTGTAATAACTTTGAGGTGACGAGCTGATTTATTACTAGGGGGCGCCCTTTATATGATATGCTGGTGCGTACCATTTTCCAACAAATCTCCAATTTTCGTGAATCTTCACTTCAAGAAAGCGCAGAAAATTTAGTGGTTTGTGTTGCAATGGGTGCAAAATCAGATTGTTGACAAAAACAACGGTTCTTCGCATACTATAAATGTGTGACATCACAATAGTAAAGTACAAAAAAATGCTTTATGTCTTTTTTCGTGTTTGTGGCGAAAACCCCAAAAGTATTTCACCAAAATAGAGAAATACTTTTTTGGCTTTCATCACAAACATGAAAAACACATAAAGTATGTTTTTTTTGTATTTTATTATTGTGATGTGACACATTTATTGTAGAAAGTCATGCTGATTATTTTGATATTTTAAGTTTATAGAATGTTTTAAAATGTGCACGTATTTTCAATGTACAAATAGTTGCATTTGAAAGGTTGGTGGGTTTGCTAATATATTTGAACTATATCATTGTTATATCGACCCCGCAGTTAAAAATATAAAAAAATAAGCAATTGTGTTGGAAAATCTCTTATGTTAGCAGATTATAACATTTAAAAACGAAAAAAATTAACAAACTGCTTACAAAGTTGTGAAAAGTGATTGCAAAGTTTGCAAATTTACATGGAAATGCGACCTATGTTGTTATATTACTGAGACAAATCGTTAAAAATTCGAAAATCTAAATAAATATGTCGTAAAAAAACGTATATTCTTGTACAAACTGTTGCAGCACGTAGAGGTCATTGGTCAACTTACGAAAGACACAAGTAAAAATGAACGCAATTTTCCAACATTTCAAAACATAAAATTGCCGCTAATTCGAATAAAATTCAAATGACCATAATACCCGAGTGGTCAGGTGATCGAACTGTCTCAAAATTTAAGACCAATCGAGCGTGGCTAGTAATTGCATGGGAGACTACTTGAGTACACCAGCTGGTGAAATAGTTTGTTGGCTTTCGACACAAACATGAAAAACACTTAAGACATTATTTTTAATTTTATTATTGTGATGTCACACATTCATAGTAGAAATCTTGCTGAATAATTTGACATTTTAAGTTTATAGAATGTTTGAAAATTTGCACGTATTTTCAATGTACAACTAGTTTTTCAGTCGGCACATAGTGGATGTAAGCTATTATAACGGCGTGGAAAGTTGTGTCAAGTGAGTGAGTAAAAGTTCAAAAAAAGTCAATAAATATGTCGTAAAAAGCCGTTTATTTTCGTACTGACTGCTGCATCACGTAGAGGTCATAGGACAACTTACGAAATACACAAGTGCTAACAATGCAATTTTCAAACATTTCCAAACATTAAATGGCCGCTAATTCGAAAAAAATTCAAATGACTATAATAGCCGAGTGGTCAGGTGATCGAACTGTCTCAAAAGTTAAGATCGATCGGGCGTGGCTAATAATTGTATGGGAGACTATCTGAGCAAACGAGCTGGAGAAATGCTTTTTTGGCTTTCGTCTCAAACATTAAAAAGACATAAGTATTTTTTATTATTATGATGTCACACATTTATAGTAAAAAGTCGTGCTGATTATTTTGATATTTTAAGTTTATAGAATGTTTTAAAATTTGCACGTACTTTCAAAGAACAACTAGTTTTTGCGGTCGGCACATAATGAAGGTAAGCTATTAAAAGGGCGTGCAATGTTGTGCAAAGTGAGTGCATAGTTGGTAGATTTGCGTGTATGCTTGACCTGAGTTGTTGCCAGAATTAGTAAGAAATGTGAATAAAATGCAAGTAAAAGTCCTGTACATTAGTATAGTGCCACATGCGCCGACCGTAACATGTTCTAAAACAGCCTAAAATGATTTGAAAAACATTTAAAAAGTTGGTGGGTTTGCTAATATAGTTGAACTAAGTCATTGTTATATCGACCCCGCAGTTAAAAATATAGAAAAAATGAGCGCATGTGTTGGAAAAGCCCTAATATTAGCAGATTATAACACTATCAAAGCGGAAAATAATTAACAAACTGCTTACAAAGTTGTGAAAAGTGATTGTAAAGTTGGTAAATTTACATTGAAATACGACCTATGTTGTTATATTATCGATGAAATTCAAATAACCATAATAGCCAAGTGGTCAGGTGTTCGAACTGTCCCAAAAGTAATCGCAATAGGTGATTTTCCGTACAATTGCGAGATCTTGCGAGATGCATGAAAGACGCGCGTCGAACGTCTGCCGCAAAAATCGAACGATTTGATTTTGAACTCGAATTTCCTTATTTCGTAGCTCACACCGACCGGCCAATCTTCGACAGAAGAATATTGCTTCCGAATACCCTTACTTAATCGAAATTGCCTATCATCAAATGTGGACAGCACATTATTAAGCATGGAAATGTCCCCCAAAATACTTTCGCGTTTGTCGAATCCCACGCGATGTTTGACGCCACTACGACGCTATGACCTTTGTTTGTCCTGTTTTTACGTTCGATTTCACGCATAACGCGTGATTCTCGCAGTGTACGGAAAATGGTCTATTTCAATGAGAGCCCGATATGTATGACCAGAGCTTCACATAAGTATAATGTTAATAAATATCGTACAAATTTGTGTAAAGCGAATAAAAAGTTCCTAGATCTTTTTGGAATTTTGATCTATCTTGTTGTCTGTTCGAATCCCATTGTGAAAAGTAAAAATAAGCGATAAAAATACTGGCAGACGCTCCTCAAACTGCCGAAATATTTTTTTTAAAATTAAAATTATAATTAAAATTACGTTTTTCAATGTAATGTGTGTTCTTTGTGACTGATATGACAATCTTTTTTGTAGATAATCATAAAAAATTACCTTTCCAATTCAAATAAATTGAAAATGTGCACGTCATTTCATAAAAAATAGTTTTCATTATAGTCGACAATGGTGGCTCTAATCTTTTGATTGTAAAAAGCGATTGGAAAGTTTGTGAATTTGTCTGAAGAATTGACCTTCGTTTTTGTTCTACTGAACCTAGCAGTTCAAAGTTAGTAAAAGTAATCACAATTTTCGAATGAAAGCCTCATATGTTTTACCATACCGCCATACGAGCTCAACGTATAATGTTAAAACATAGCGTGCAAAAATGTAAAAATCGATTGCAAATTTGGTAGATTTTACTGGATATTTTATTTAAATGGTTATCGTATCGGAGCCCACAGTTAAAAGTTTAAAAAAATACTCAAAAACGAGTGAAAGCTAGTATTAAGAGAAGACCTTAAGAACTTCGCGTATAATAGTAATAAATAGCGTACAAAGTTGTGTAAAGAGAATGAAAATTTTCTAGATTTGTTTTGAAATTTCCCCTATCTGGTTGTCTGTTCGAATCCCGTAGTGGAAAGTAGAAAAAAGCGATGAAAAGCCTGGCATGCAAGTTTCTAAGCTAATGGACGAGCTCGAAACTCGGGATAGTTTGAAAACTTGCTATACGTTGAATCTACGATTGGAAAACAAATCAGGAATCGCTTCCCTTGTAACTTCATACATTGCATTGTTGATTTTCAACTGCAAATTATAATTTAAAATAAATTACATAAAAGGTCAAAAACTCGATAAAACGTGGATGTCTCTAATAATTAATTAATTTCATACAAAATTGCAAGTCATTGCGCTATGAGAATTGAGGTCGCTAAATATTCATGATTACCGACTGGTAAACAAACCCCACAATAAATCCTACTTTTAGTTTCTATATTTTTTTTTTGGTTTGAGAAGAAATAAAAAAGAGTGAAAAAAGTCAGGATTTAAATATTCTTCACAAATCTTACTAACGTCTGGAAATATGCGGTCGTTTTTGTACAAATTTGGATGAACATGAGCCGTTGACGGTGCGTGTCATGAGTATCTGACGTAATAATATCACGCGAACTTCAAACTCGCAAATCGTGTATTCTCCGCGGGCTATTACGCAAGTCCACAGCAGGCTCAATAAATGAGTCAATAAGTCAATCAATCAAGAAAATGACAGAAGATAACTCTAACTGTCGTACACTTCATTAACTATTCACTGAGTCATTACAAAAAATGCCCTGTCATGAAATATCTATTTTGCCAAAATGTAACTGAAATAGAGTACAAGTAAATAGGTGATATATGCCGTGTTCACACGTGGTCTAAAAATGTGTGAACAAGATAAGCCAGCGCCACGCTAACTCAGTTTAAATCGCTCTAAAATGGCAAGTCTCAACTGGCAACCGACTCTTGTAGAAACGAATTTAGAACGTGTGAACAATAACACCTCCTTAAAAGTACGTTCTCAATGTCAGCCTCGCTTTGATGCTCTATTCATTTCAAGTATTTTACAGAAACACGGCAGCCTATAACAACGCCGGATTAGTTTAGTATTTACATTTGTATGAACACGGAACTAATTAAAACCACTTATAACGAAGTTAGTCAAGCCGGCCGTGTGAACACGGTAATAGATTTCAAATTATCTAATGTGCATTAATTCAATGAAAATTAATAACGGCTATATAGCACACACACAAACAATCGACTTGGTATTTTTAAAAATATTATGGATAATTTGGGGTTGTGCATATTTTGCAACATTCACCTCATTTGTTGAAATAAAACTTCTTGCTCAATGTACTTTCCAAGTAAGTACACTGTGTGCCAAGTTTGTCGCCAACCTCCTTGTTTACATTAGTGAGGATAGATAATAATTCTTCTTGGTCGCTGTATGCTAGTATATTTTTTACTAAGATATTTATATAATAAGATCCCTCAGTTGTACTTCTCCATGATACGTAACCAGGAACGGTTGAGTAACTCAAACAGAAATCGGCTTCAGTGGGTTTAGAGATTGGATCATGAAGAGAGGGGCCATCGCGCTCTTCCTGCGAAGCTGCCATTTCATCTGTACCTTTACAGGCTTGAATGAAGAACAATTTTGGCTTTCCGATGAGACTGGGGCACGCGAGTCCATTCAGCAGACCGGAAAGTTTATCTACATTGACGTGCTTGTCATCAACACCGTGTACTCCAACGCGTGATCCGTGCGTGAGAATACACACGATGATACAGTCTGCTTTGCTGTGATCGGCTGCACCGACATCCCTAATTGTGGCGAACATCTGATGTGCAGTCAAATCTCTGTATGGTCTCACGTCGAAGTTCAGACTTGTGAATAGGTCAATCAGTTTTTCTGAAGATACAATCAAATGTTAAAGTCTTATTAACAATAACAATATAGTCTGTTCTTCGTCTATTATTTTCAATATTCTGTTCTTGTTAATGTTCAACACTTCGGTAATCTATAATGAAATCACGTGAAAAATTAGTCGACACAAATGGCAGCTGAGATCTCATTGAGATCGGAAGAACCACGAGACTTATTCATTGCCCCAAACAGTGAGCACGATGACAGGAACGAAGCACTCCAAAAGATCTGGGTTCAAGGCCTATTAACCAATGTTTATTTCGTGTAATTTTCTTTCTCCTGCGCAAGTTTTGATGTCCGCAACAATGTTTTACCAAAGTCAACTCATGACAAAAATTTTAAAAAGGTAATACAGTATTCCAGGATATATTATTAGATTGTCAGATTATTTGTCGCTTTAGATTATAGAAAATAACAACAATAACAAAACTGAACAATGGTCAAGAAAGTTTTTCAATTGCCTGCAACTAAATTCATCATTCGCAATGGAAAATCCAACTTCTGTGGGAAATGGTACTCACTTAACTAGATCAAACTAGGGTCGAGTTTCTGAATGCTGATTTCTAACATCTGGAATGACCATCTTCTTATACAAGGTCAAGTAACAAAATGCGTGGTCTGTATGATATATATTCGGTATATTAGAATCAATGTGTAAACCTATTGATGGTCAAATTTAGATGGCTGGTTCTAGAAGGGCTTAGAGATGAAGGGTCATTGAATCGCCTGGTATGGTTATAATTGGGTGCCTTGCGTTGGTAACTACGTCCTGTGGGTCAACTGTGTATTGTGACTCGGTAATGACAATATTTTCCACCGTTCTACTCAAAATCACTCATAAATTAATGAATATTGTTGTCAAGGTGTAAGGAATTATTGATGGGAGATTAGGCATAGAGTCGTTTTGACACCTACTGCTTGGTTAACCGAAGCACTGAATCAGCTGGATAAGGTAAACTTGTGTAACTTATGATATCGTAATCCGTAATGATGAAAGAAGTTGGATTATTTAAATTTTAATAGTGGAAAATACTAAAAAAACGATTTTAAATATAGATAACAGGTGCAAACATTCTCTCTTTTGAATGCTTAGCAAGATTTAGCAAGGCTGTACATAAATAATCAAAAAGAAACATGGTGAAAAAAAGAAATGACGGAATCTCCACTAAATTTAATTTTTAACAAAACGATAATACATTTGAATTTTGAACTGTTGCAGCCATTTTAATTATGAGCATTAGCAAACTTCTTACTGAGTGAATTGTTATGCAAATTAGCAATTATCTCAGCTTCTTTTTAGTGCACATCCCAGAACTTAAAAAAATAGCTCCTAGACGCTTTGACCTTTTGTTTTGAAATTTTCACAAATGATTGACAATGTGTTTATCTTCATAACGCCGTGGGGGCATTGTTTTTGGTTGAACAGTGTTACAACAATCGTACAGACAACTAGCCTGGGTGTTAATTTATGCATAAACTTGAAGTAGTGAAATTTGAGCTGCTGCCCTGCAAAATTGACAACTGGTAGACAGTTTTCAAGACGGCACTTTCTTCATAGTAAACTGATGTACCCATAAACCAATTTTGACAGGAAACAGAAGCATGGTTTAGAAGCTATTTTTTTTAAATCACTTTTGACCAAAAAAGCACATTTTTGTGCATATTGCAAACTACAGTGTCCATAAAAAAATACTAACAAAATTGTAAAATTCATACAATAAGCTTTCCGAAAATATATACTTTTGTGGACAAGGAGGTCATCTTGGGTTCCTAATTAACTAATTAACATACCTGTCAGGTAAACTGCATCTCTACCTTAAGACGTCAATAGTAGTTCAGTGTTTTAGATGGAAAACTCAACGTGTTTGGTAGTCATAAGCTTGCACTTGGGACACTTTCAGATCTTTAGAAAAGAATGTTCATACCTTCATCCACTTCTGTTCCATGCCTAGTTTGTGTAATGTCATGAAATTTGTGATTGTTTATGATAATAACTTGACCTTTCGGGCTGTGTACCATCTGATATGTAGGATACCCCGTGCCTGGTGTTTTATCTTCATCTGAAATTATAGATATATTGATATAGAACTACAGACACACAACCATGCAAAATGACAACTTCAACCTAAACTTAACGGGTGGTGGTCATCGCGCCAAGTCATGTGCGACATTTGTGTTGATAAACATTGAGTTTTGACCAAGGTGTCACTTGCACTAATTTCCGCCGGCGACTTCTTCGATATCTTCTAATCAATACCAGAAATTACATAATTAAAGTTTTATAACCGCCACATTTGCACTCCTTGATGTGCACAACAGTCAAAGTCACCATCTTTGTTTATATGAGACCCATATCTCGCGCATGCGTGGAAGGACGACCACCCTTTAATTAAATTCTATAAAGGAAAGCAATTTGTTGGAGTTGTGTAGCCAATCAAACAAAATCCGGTGAGTAGAATTACATTGACTTAACATTTGTGAACTGTAATCACCTTTTGGAGTTCTCCTTCGTTCACGTGCATGTACACGCATGATTGGTCGTGTTTCTTTTTCAACTGAAATTATAAGATAAAATTAAAAAAATTATCATGGCAGTACATTTTTATAAATGCCTTAATAATATTTTTGATTCTCCCTACACTATTTCCAACATTCCTTTTCATGCTCCCTCCAGGAATCTCCGCTCCGTAAATCCCTTCAAATTACCTCTTTGTCACAGTAATCTCTGAAAATATTATTTATCCCTCGTTGTCTGGACTTTTTAAATTGTATTTATATTGCTGGTTCAGTAGACATTTTTACGAGTCTATCTTCTTTTAAGACATCTGTTTTAAATGCCATAAGTTGAGCTTTGGGTCTATCTTTTTTTGTATTATATTTGTAAATATTTTTGTATTTTGTATGTAATTTGGGAAACCTGCTGGTATATCAAATAAATAAATAAATAAATAAATAAATAAATAAACGAACGAACGAACGAACGAACAAACAAACAAACAAACAAATAAATAAACGAACAAACAAACGAACAAACAAACAAACAAACACACACAAACAAACACGCAAACAAACAAACAAACAAACAAATGAATAAATAAATAAATAAATAAATATATATTAGAGAACAAATGCAAGACAAGTTACGTGGTCCTCAAGTTCTCAACGAGATCTCGGCGGTCATTTTATAATGATAATAATAGTATACAACATATACAATTGTTTTTACCAGTTTTTCCCGGGAACAATCCCTTCCATAACGACAAAATCTCATCTCGTTTGTTGTCAATTCTCACATGCTTGTATATCATGTCGGGTATTTCGTCACAGTGAAACGTGTGCAGGTGACGAAGGTTCACCAATGTATCTGGCAGCGATTCAAGCCTATTGCCACTAATATACAACTCACGTAACTCTCGCAACGAACCGATGGAAGTTGGTAGCGTGGTCAAGTGGTTGTTATTTAACCACAGTTTCTCCAAAGAAGTCCACCCTTTTATCTTGTCATCCAGATCGGTTATCGCATTATCATCCAGAATGAGTTCTTTGACGTCTTTGTATTTAGTATAGAGACTCGTTGGAATTCTATTCAATTCACAATTCCACCCATAGTACACGCTACGATCTTTGTCCCATTTAGGGACTTTTTCGTCTGCCATGTTGTCTGTTTGAAGAAATTATTTCAACTATGTATAGCTATAAATGAATTCGTACAGAACAAAATTAGATACTCAATATGTATATATTAATCATTTAGATAATGATTAGACTCGAAAATCTATTTCATATAAATTACAGACAAAAATAACAGAATATATCACTATATAATTTCTGTTTTGTTAGTGATTAATTTCATAATAAATACATCAACCAATTAGTAAACATACCTTATTCAAAAATGGCCGCCGAGATCTCGTTGAGAGCGAGATAGTCACGATACTTCTATTTTATGTACACTGTAAACTGTTAAATTTTTGTTACCAGAGTAGACCTTAGACAGAAATGAGATAAAAGTGTTTCATTCTTTACCGCCATTGCGTTTCCATGGCTAGTGGAACACTAGACACGATGGAATTAATAAATGGAAATCATTTAGGGCAAACTCGTGTCTCGTGTTTCAACGAGATTGTGGGGGCAGTTTACGTATTGGGTCTATTGCAACACACTCGACCATAATAAAACCATAAGTCAGCGCACTCATAATAGAGACGCTGACCTTTTCGTCCGTTGATATAGCAATCATTTGAGCGTGTCTGACCTGAGTCCATTCAGCCGTTTACTCTGTATCGAAATCGGCCAAGTCTCTAAACATCGCTTGAACTAATTATAAGGTTGGCACAAAAAGACGTTCATACACACATTCAACCAAATTTGGGTCGTAATTTATTTGCAGCGTCAGCGCTTTATAAGCAAATTAACTGGCATTGTGTCAGTTTATTTAATAATATATGTTCTTTCAAACGGCATACAATGCCGTCGAGTACGCACTTCAATAGGCTGGTAACAGAAGTATCACTGGCACCGCATTCGCTGCACTGTGTAATCGGAGATAACGTACTTTGCGTAAAACGCGTAGAGTAGCTAACACGGTGTTAGACAATTCACTATAGATGTGACAGTCACCATTGCGTGCGCCAGATATGATAGGTTAAACTTGAGTGTTGACTCACCTGATCTAATCTTCCTGTTAAACATGTCACTACAGCTTGCAATTGCGTTAACGATAGTTGAAGTGAGGCAATAAAAAGTGGTGTGTGTGTGTGTGTAGAAACAGTGACGTCACAGATGTAAAGATAAATACGTCTTGGTTCATTGCACTATTAAAATGCACTCGAAAGCGTTATGTATCTGTTAAGATACAAATCATATAAATAAATTATAAATAAAGAAAAACAATTAATCTACGTGAGTAATTTAAGCATATACTAAGTTTACTCGAACTTAATGATTTATCAACTGAGGGAGGGGGGGTGTCGACCAACGTTCATTTATTCCCGGTCAGTAAGAATATGTGGTTTCAGGCCGATATGTTATTATACCAACTTCATTTTTTTGCCCAAAATGGGTGTTATATTTGAATGTTTACGAAAGGTTCGTAAAATATGGAATATGGAAATATGGAAAACTTATATATATTGCAAGATATCTCAATATACAATTCTGTATATTAAAGTTATGAAAACTGAAGCAAAAGCGCTCATCACACAAGACTGATTATAAATCGTTTTTTTTTCTGCTCCTGGGCGCAAGTGCTCGGTAATAAGTTATAAATCATCTATTGCATAATAGCCGCGTGGTACAAGCCATTACCCACGTTTTTGTACATTTAGTACAGTGGATAATAGTAATAGTTTCGTCCTTTGTCTTTGAATTGATGGAACAATATGCAAATTAGATGTACGATGACGTAGTTGTCTCATTTTTTATGGATCGGATAAGGACTTTTTGGCTACGATGTCATGTGGCGGAAGCGCCGGGGCTTCCGAGAATGCGTTAGCCATACGACCGAGGGCTACAAAAACCGTATCCAGTCCATAAAGGTGTTATGGCAGTGAATGAAGGGACTCCATCTCGCCCGTGGGTATGAACACGAGAAGATCGGCACGATTCCGGCAAAAGTAGATTCCACGGACTAGCGCCATCTCGTGACAGAAATGGGTACATCTGATTTCACGATACATAACTTGCGTGGAAGTCTAAGTCATTCATTAGGTATAAAGAATGCCGTTGAGGGCATCAATAAACAATCACGGGGGGGGGGGGTACTCCAAGTCAGACCTGGTACCCATGCTAAAGTATAGCTTTTCAAAAAAGCCTGTAAACACATACTTATTTTTGTAAAAGTATACCCATTTTCAAGTGCAGAAACTTAAAATAGATACCCTATATGCGTACTGAAATCATACTGCTTCCAAGTTGAGGTAACATGAGTATATGAAATTCCTCTTTTCGCACTTTATTACTATATTCTAAGTTATTCGACTCAAAACACGGTACACGCGTATACGCTTCAAATAACTAAATAACACCCATTTTACGCGTTTTTTTTTACTTCAGCTTGCGTACCATATTTCATTCAGAGACCCCCCCCCCCCACGGATAAAAAATACTGTATCAGAAGATTTTCTAAATGCTAAGAGAGAACTGACTTATGTTTGAACGACATCTACGTCATCTCATCATATTATAACCTCGACCTATTTCAAGTACCTAATGGTAACCACAAGACAACTATGGAATTCGGCTGTTTGCAGATTGCTGATTGGTCATTTGTTTTATAATTCACTGATCAAAATTCAAACCATAGTTTTCAAATACCAGTCTTACGGCGTTTTGTCCCTAGAGGTCGCAATATACTAGTTGACCATTCGTGAATTTGACGTGGGCGAATAGTTTCCGGATTGCGATAATGTCTGAGGGCACTAGTCTAAAGTACGCCCTCACTCGGTTGCAGGGCATATCCGAATCCTCGGGGGCGGATATCCGGGCGTTTTTCACCGCTTGGCAACCCTCGCGGTGAAAACAAAGGCCAAAAACTCGCAGAAAACGGTACTTTGGGATGGTTGTTGAGACCCCCCTGAACAGTGTAACAAGATTAGCCCTATATGTGTAACATATGTAAATTTGGTTGCTCAGGATTACTTCAAAGTTGAGTTTGTGTCGTTTTCTCGAATTTTCACTGGCTCGACCGGCGTTCCACAGCAGCGCACACAAAGCCCATAGAAATACGTGGTGCAGTGGTGCGCGTCTTAGCAACGTAGAACGTCTGTGACGTAGCTCCGCCCCCGAGGATACTGTAATATGGCAGACAATGTCCTGTTGACAGAAAAATGACGTCCCTGGCGCAGAACTGCAGTATTCTGGAATTTTCCATGCTACATATACGAAACTCTACGTGTCGAAAAGATGCTTCGATTTTTTCGGAACTGGTATACAGGTACGCTCCCTTTTTTTTAGCAGTCAGTATGCGTGTGGATATATGTAGTTCCGTAGCAACCAAAATTATCCTTACTACGCATGACTTTTTTGAATATTTTGTTCACATTTACACCGTGACGAATGCACTGCTTGG